AGAAACTATATACAGAATTAAGTAAACAGACTAAATAATTGGTGATAAAATCATGGAAAGTCCTGTAGTAACTTGACTTAGGTTAGTCTTGTGACGATTGTCAAAAAAAAGCTGAGGAAAGTTACGCAATTTGAGTAAGCTGCCATTGCTTGAACTTTTTCTGATGTGTCACAAGCCAAGAAATCTTAGCCAGACATTTATTTACAGTGCAGTTGCCTTTGAACTGTCTCTAGTGCCAAACTAAAAAAAAAATAATAATAAAATGAAACCACCCTGTTTTTTGTTGCAAACTATAGATTCCTATTTCTATAACAAACAGAAGAGGGTTCTATAGTAATAGTTCTGTATTGTCATTCAGTGATAAAAGGATGGTGTCAATTCTTCTGGAAGAAAAAGCTTCAAGTACATTTATTACAGGATGCCTGGTTTGGGCACCTTTGTAGCGCTGAGATGTTTTGCTTTTTTAAATGAGGGAAAAAGTTGAAGTAAAATCAGTAATTTGTGCATGTGTGTCTTTTTTTTTTGTTTGTTTTTGTCCTAGTGAAACTTCTAATGAATTCAACAAAAGATTAGCCTTGATTATTTTGTATTTGGCAGTGTGAGTAAGTCATTGAACCACCTGTTGGAAATTATTGCAATTCAGCTTATGTAAACTTCATTTATGGATTTAAACTGTATAAACATGCTTACTTTTGTCTAGGTAGACACTCCCATAGACTTCTTTTGAACTATTTGCTGCATATGCATTATGCACTTAGATTTATGTTCAAAGATTATATTTTTGAAAGTTGAAATGGCTTCCCCAAAGATGGATTTTATCCAAATAGGCTTTTTTTCAAGTAGAGGGAATTTAAATTTAGATAAATTTCAATTTAATTTTCCTAAAGGACTTTTAGTAAAAATAATGTTTAAAAAATAAAATAAATCTTTACTCTTTAAGCATTGTTAACTCATGGTTATTAAAGACTTTTAACGAAAAGCCAATCAAAAACAATCTGATAATTTGACTTACCTGATCTGGTTTACAGTGTAAAGGTCAAGCTACGTTTTAGTGAACATAGGGCAGTGTTCATATGATGTGTTTCATGGGTTCGGTATCTCTGATTGAGAAGTTCGGAGTTGGGTGTTGAAGTCTGTTTTTATTCACAGGCAAGGAAGTGGAGATTCAGGTTACCAAAGCACGTGGCAGCAGTATATAATGTCAAGCTAATGGGCCACGCAGCTAGTGTCCCATCAGTGACAGAGGCCATGAATGAGAGCCTACAGAAACATCTAAAAACATGTTGGACAGATATGGTGTATCTGTTTTCCTCTCTCAGTTTCCAGCCATTTGAAGCTGAAGGACATCCTGAGCTGAAGGCAGTTTCTCAGTGAATTTCTGTTCTAGAAGCTTGCTGAACATCCACTTAAACACTAGTATCTGTAATATCCTTTGGTAAGAAATTTTTAAGTTGAACTGTCTGCTCTGTGAAGAGTCCTCTTCCTTGTTTTGAAGCTAGCTGATAACTAGTATCTTTTACTCCTTATGTAATCCAGAGTAGCTTGGCAGTACTGGAAGTCTCAACTAACCTGTTAAGGCAATGTAGTGGTATTTGTAATATTTGAAAGTAGTTAACTGCTTGATGCTGTTAGAAATAATAATTTTATGTAACTGCAAATAAAAGCAGCATGCTCAAGTATTCATAGGGGATTCATAGGAGATTACATTAAAAGGACTGCAGTTCTAAATTCAGGGTGTCTTCTGTTTTAATAGGATCAAAGTAGTTTTGGGCACTGACATCCCCCAAGTGTGTTGCTTCACCACATGAAGTATTTGGCAATACTGGTGAGGTGTCCTGTTACTTCTGCCCCTGTGTTGACCTCTTATTTGTGGTGTGACAGCTGTGTGTGGCTGTGTTGTAAACTGGATCAGGGAACTGATCTGCTTCTTCTAAAAAATCTGGTTGGTTTCTTAAAGCCTTATCAGCTAATCAATCTGGTTCATGATATGTCCCTGCAGATAGCTGCCTGGATTACGAAGGGGGTTGGAGAAGGGGACTAGTTTCAGGAAGAGGTGCTAAGAATACATTAGATTGGTATTGTTTCCAAACAGTTTGTGATTTCATAAATTCTGCTGGGTGATGGATGTACGTTTTAAATATTTGGCTAGTTCCTACTACTTCAGTTTTCTATGTGGAAGACTTGCCCATATAAGGAGGCTGACTCACATTGAAGCTACGCAGATTGTTAAGTGCATAGATTAACCAAGAGAATTTTGCAGCCTATTTTAAAGTAAAAACCTAAGGACATTGAAAAATAAAGTATCTTTCCTTCTCCAAGCTGGTCTCCCCCCTCCCCTCTGTCATAATGCATCAATTAATCAAAGCTATCTGAATTTGAGACTTCTCTTAGGAGTTTAATGTGCTGCCCATAAGGTTTTGGGAGCCTTTTAGCTGAAGGATTTCCACTTGTCATAGAATCATAGAATGTTAGGGGTTGGAAGGGACCTCTAGAGATCTAGTCCAGCCCCCCCACCCCCACCAGAGCAGGACCACCTAGGGCAAGCCACGCAAGAATGCATCCAAGCGGGTTTTGAAAGTCTCCAGAGAAGCAGACTCCACAACCTCTCTGGGCAGACTGTTCCAGTTCTTTGTCACCCTCATGGTAAAGAAGTTTCTCCTCATGTTGAGATGGAACTTCCTCTGTTCTACCTTGTACCTATTGTTCCTTGTCTTATTAGTGGGCACCACCGAAAAGAAAATGGCCCCTTCCTCTTGACACCCACCCTTCAAATATTTATAGATGTAAGATCCTCTCTCAGCCTTCTCAAGACTAAAAGAGCCCCGGTTCTCTCAGCCTTTCTTCATAGAAGAGATGTTCTAATTTATAGTAGCTAGATAGTAAGGTACCAACACTTGAAAAGCAAGCAAACTTACGGAAGCTCTAATGATAGGTACTTTGTTATTACCTTGGTTGACACAGCCTGGGGAAATAACTTAAAAGTGGTGAACAATAAAATGTGCGTGCTCTCGCTTGTGTATGGAGGAGTGAATTACTTTTTTTTCCTCATGTTGAGACTTCTGAAAATAAGCAAAAGGTAGATAATAAGCTTAGTACTGTAAAACCTGTGAGGTGATTGAAGGATCTTTATGTTAAAAGTTTAGTTGTGACAAGGTGAAGTGAGGGAGTGCATTTGCACCCGGAAAAGTTGTGATAGTTGGCTGGTTGTCTTAAGTTAGTAACATGGAGGTGAACAAGTTACATCGGAAAACCTTGTGGGTTAAACCTAGTCTGAATGAGTGAAGAGTTTGTGCTGTGCTAGCAAAGTTTTGGGTGCAGGTGTGGCCATGGTGAAATGGAGAGGAGTTCTTGACTGAATATATGACATTTGGTAAGAGATGGCTGGTGCTAGCTCTACAGGTAGATAAGCAATTACTGTTTTATCATCATTACACTGGAGAGCTCTGTGGATAGAGGTTTGGTAGTGAAGGTCATCTGTGTCTGATCCTTCTGGCTGGCAATGCTGTCCTTTTCCTGCAGTTTTTTCCTTGCTGTATGACCCAACTTGCTACGCATGAGACATGATTGATCAGTGCTTGAGTAGTAATTCCAGTGTTAATGCCATGGGAAAGA